TTTTTAAATAATTGTGTAATATAAAACACTTAGTTCTGATTGGATACAGTTATACAATATTTAGTACATAAATTCCTTCTTCACCATTGTTCTGTTGCCATAGAAAGAGCTCAACAGCTGGCAGAAACTGATAGGAAGCAGATGGGGTTGTTTTTTTTTGTACATAAACTCTTATATCCATGCTAGTATTTTGAGGTAAGATAATTTATTGAATGAAATATATAATTAATGCAGATGAAAAATTCAACTAGTGAGATGCCAATAGCAGTTTATATGCAATACTAAATTTTGATATTAAAAATATTATTAATTCATACTTTGGGTTTTCAAATCTGGAAAAGGACTTCGATTAGCATTAAGGAATGTGTCACTGTATTTCAGCATTTTGAAATAAATCTGTATCAGTATTTATTATTTTTTAAAATACCTTGTAAGATTCTTGTAGTGACATGGCTTAAATACTTTATTTCTGTTACAGATCAGTCTCTAGTTTTAAAAATTTGCCTTGGCCATGAAACATTGCCTTGACAAATTTTTCATCTTAGCCTCACCCCTGCTATTCATATTATGGGATTGATTGATTGATTGATTGATTGATTAGATGTATATGCTGTCTTTCTTCCAGGAGCTGATAGTGAGAAATGTAAGCACTCCCTTTTCTGGCTTTTCCCTGCAGCAGCCCTGTGAGGTAGCTTGGGCTGAGGGAGGGCATCTGGGCCAAAATCCCCCAGGAAGCTTCTGTGGCTGGCAGGAGACTTGAACCTGTGCCAGTCCAACACCTTCACCACTATACCATATTGACTCTCCAATAAAACATTAGAGTCCACAGTTAATGGATATGAAATGTATTGAATGTTCTAAATCAGCCTTTTCTGCCATGCTGGGTTTCAGCTTCCATAATTTAAGAAATCCTGGAATCTTGAACAGAGCTCAGGAAACTCAAGGTCAGGTCCCCCCTCAGCCATAGAACTCCACAGGGTGGCTTTGGGACAGGCATTCTCTCTCAACCCAACCCAGCTCACAGGGCTGCTGTCGTGGGGATGAAGGGAAGAGGGATTCCCAGGTAAGTTGTCTTGAGCTCCAGGAGCGGGGTGGGGGTGGGGAATATAAATATAAAAAATAAATACATCGGGCATCGCTGTGGTGGCTTAAGATGATGGGAGCTGTGGTCCAGCACATTGAGGATCAATGTAACAGATTGAGGGAAACTTTTAAATTAAGTACTTAGCTGAATTGAAACAGATAGAAAATGAAGACTGTAGACTGCCTCTCTGATGGGGGAAATGTGGACCAAGTAAGATGCCAAAAATAATTGCAGAAGAAAAGGATAGGAAGATTTGAAGATAGGAAATGCAAGATATAATGAAGGAGCAGAGTTTAGAAAATAGATTATTTTGATTGTTGTCTCCTCTGGGGTGTTTGTTATAGTGAGCCATTGCTGAATTCTGATTTTCTTGAGTACTGCTAGACTGTGTCCCTGCTTGACTTAAGGGACTATTTTCAACAGCAGCAACAGATACCCTAAGCAGCAATTCTGAGACCTTTGAACTGCAAGTTGGTTAATCTTTTCCTTGCCAATGTTTTTTATAACTGCCTTAAGGGCAGGATATAAAGACATTTATCATAAACAAGCAGATAACAATAGCCACTAACAGTCTATATAGGAATGTCCCTTTAAAGATGGCCGAGATATAGCATTTTGGGAATACTTTTTTAAAAATTGAACTGATGGAGAAATTAAAAAAAAACAAAACAAAACCAGAAGGCAATAAATATCCATAGTGAATGTTGAGTCATTCTTAGAAGTAGCTTGAAGATGTTATCTGGGGGTTGGACTGTCATAGCTGAACTAGGGGCCACTAGTAAAAAATCCTATTTTTCTGTTCTTACAAGTCAGAAGTAGACACTTGAGATTTAAAATCACATCAGGATAGTTTTAACAGGAGCCCCTGCCCTTTGCTTTCTTTTTATTGGCATGACTCTCTTGGAACAAAAGTGGTAGTGGTCCATCCTGGAGATGATTGGGGCAAATCTGTATAGTTCCTCCTGTTGCTGCTTGCCTCTTTCTTGCATTGTCAACATAGAGGCTACCTTAATCACCTCAGCACCAGTAAAGAGGAAGTACAGGCATACATTCCTTCTTTAGTGGAGTTGCATGTTCTCTGATCTGGTTTGAGTCCACTTTGGGAAGCTGCTATGGAATGTTATTCTTGAGACATCCAGTCTTACTTTAATGACTGTCATGTGTCAGCTTTTTTCAGTAATGCACCAGCAGGGTAATAGTAAAGACCTGCCTGAGTACATGACCATATGGATATGTTGGCAATAGTGTGGAAGAGGTTTGCCTTTGCCTTTTTCTGGGATTGGTTTAGACTTCCTGGCCTACGATTTGCTGGTGGACTCCTATCCAAGTAGTAACCAGATCTGTCTCTTCTTAGCTTTTCTGAGATCAGCCAAGTCAACCAGGTGCTCCCTTCCTTCCTTCAACTTTGGGTGGCTTAGCATTAAAAAAACCCGACATATATATCAATGGTTATTGAAGTCATTGAGACATTGATAGCCTTGGCAGTCACCCTCATGACTTTTAGAATTGTTTGATGACAATATGCTACCAAAATTTATTTATTTATTTATTTTAAAAATGTATATGACCACCGATCTAACATACGAACTCTGGGCAGCTAACCACAATAAAAAAAACAATATACAGTAATAAGACTCCTATAAACCAAATAGAAAATAAAATAAATTAATCTTAGGCACACTAACCATCTATCATCCTGGCCCAGCACCTGGGAGGAAAGCCAGGTCTTTAAGGCCAAGAGGGTCAGGGTCCTCTTTTGCAGGACGCTGTTCTATAGGGCTAGTGCTCCAACAGAGAAGGCACAACTACTACTCAAGCAAGATGACATTGCTTAATAAAGGGGTTCTGGAAATATTGGCCTCTTGGCCTTGACAGCTAGCAACTGTTCTTTCTTTGGTCGAAATCAAGATAATCCAGTTTTATGGAAAATCTGAGGCACTAAAATCCTCTATTTTGACATTTAACCTAGATAGGAATTTTTGTTGTAATCTCTCTGCATGGTGTTCTCCATATGAAGAAACTGGGACTGAGAGGACAACTCGATTTGACCAATGTTATATCCAAGTTTCATGGAACCATTTTTTTTCTTCCACTGGAAGAAAATGAACGACTTTGGGGTTGTGCAGAATTAAGTTCTGGCAGTCTTTCTATCCTGCCCAATTATCTGCCTCACTTGTTCAGAATGCTTCAAGGTGCTTCTGTTTTCCTAATATGGACATTCTGTGAATACCTTTCAAACTTGTAACTAGTTTGTTGGCCAATCTAAACCTCTTTTGATACTGATGCCAATTTTTTTTACCTCTTTGCTGGCTCCGCTGGCAACCATCTCAGTTTTATTGAGTTCACCTCTGCTTCTCTCTGCCCTCCTTTTCCCTCCCATTTCTTCTCATGCAGAAATTGTGGGGATAACTTTCCATATTAACACATTTTTTCTATCTGTCCTGTAAAAAAATAATTCCTAAGCATCTGTAGATGGCGGCATGTTTCCATGGTTGCACGAACTTTCTGCTGTTTTAGAAACAAGTAAAAGTTAGCCTTGTCAGCATGATTTATATTAAAACTCTGTCAAGGATGACAATTCAGCTTAGTGGTACGATTCTATTGCGAGAACTTAATGGTCTCCCCCTACTATAGGGCTTCACAATTTGCAGTCCATAAGCGGACCAACGATATGTCCTTTTGCCACCAAATTTCAGGGTTTGGGAAGAGTTTGCCTTCAGGAGTCTCTCTTCCACTCCCACCATTGTGCTCCTAAGCTTCCAAAATTACAAAAAGACACAAAGATTTAGTGTCCCCCCACCCCTTCTAGTGATATCATCATCAGATAACATAAGTCCTCCTGCATCCCAGCAGTTAGGAAGCAAGTTATGGCCCCTGACTTGAGAAAAGGGCCCTTCTCCATATGACCTCACCATGTGGCTTTGGAAAAAATATCTCTGTGTATGTGTGTGTGGAGGGGGGCACCAGGATTCCAAAAGTTGGCATAATCCCAAGGTACTGGGGGATGCCAATTGCTCATTCCTGCTGTGAGCCACAATGTGATTTCTTTAGTTTTGGCTTGGTGAATTGTGTAAACTTGACCAGTTGTGATTTAGTCACTTCTCTGTTCATTTAAAAAAAAAAACAACAACTTTCATTAGTGAACCTTGTCATTGTGACTAAGCAGATATATGAGTCAAGTTTTTTTTTCCTTTGCAGTCCCAGAAGGGGCTGCTTTGACTTTGTAGAACGTAAGTTGTACAGGCCCACTCTGTGATGTAGGAGTGTTTCTTAACCACCATCTGTCTGTTTCTTGCTTTTAAATAATGCCTTTGCTCAATCTTTCTAGGTAAGTTTTTTGAAAGTAGGGAAAATACATTCTTCATTTGCTTAGGAATTTGTGTGAGCTTATCCAGGGATTTATTTCTAATGGCAGTTTCTCAATGGCCATTCACTGCTTTTTCGGTCAGGAATGTAGCTGAAAATGCCATAGACTAATTTTCCATTTTATCCAGTAAACAGATTTATTCTCTTGATTGCATTTTATGCTAAATTGCCCTTATTGTGTCTTTTGAATGAAGCACTTTCTTCTTGCTGTTCTTGGCTTTGTGATTTGTTCTGACCTCTGTCTCTGCTTTTGTTAGCTGCTTTCATTACACCTATCTTACTGATGGAATTTCAGAACAAGCAATAGATTTTTCTTAGTTATTATCACCCGACAGAGGGAAATGAAGCATGGGGCTGATTTGGTATAACTTGCTGCATCACTTGAGGGCAAAATCCTAAGAGCAAAGTTTCTGTAACTAAAGGGTGAGGAATCAATTCTTTATTGAATTGCTGTTTTGTGACAGGACATATTTCTGTAGTCTTAGGAAGAGTAAAATGGCATGTTTAGGGCTCAGTCTGGTCTTTCTGGGTTTCTGATTTAACCCTCAGGATTCAATCCCAACCATTCCTGCTTTCTTCATACTGAGCTGCTCATACTAATCTGAAAACTAAGGATTCATTAACTTGAACCGTGAGTAAATGAACAACTTCATCTGATTGCTCTTTGTTAGCTCCTTCTGTGCATCTGGATAAGAATCTCCTTCACCCTGGGAAGAACAGTGTTAACGTCTTCTTTCTGTAACAAAGGGAAAGTAGTGAAATAAACTTTGAAAGTATAACAATTGAAGGGAAAGAGAGCATACCTACATACATGGGCTACTGGACAGAACCAATATTGTTTGCTCTTTCTAGAGGTGACATTTTTGAAGTTTAGCTATTGACCAGGGATCTAGCATAACAACATGGTAATCTTCCCTTACTTCTGTTCTCCCAGTTTTGTGCCATTCCCACCTACATACTTTTTAACAATTTTATGCCCTGCAGAGAGGCAGTAAGTTCCTAAGGCTTTTTCATTATTTTTATTCTTGAGTTGGGCCTCTAGATTGCCTGGAGTTATTCTTGCATTAATGGTAATAAATAGCTAATCCCCAGTATTTTGGAGGAGTAATTATTAATGCCTTGATAGAAAGCCAAGGATGTAAAATAGTAATATTATTATTATTTTTTTATTATTATTATTATTATTATTATTATTATTGCAAACAAAACAGCGGTATTCTAAATTCATGGAGTTAAAACAGCACCATTATTGCACAGAGGAAACCCAATAGCAGTTTGGTTTATCTGTCAAACAAAAACAAGTTGTAAGAGACTCTATAAAACAAATTGTTAGTGGAAGACTTACTTCTGGGCATTGTGCAACTTTAAAGGGCATTTTATTCTAAGAACAATTCCATGAATTATGAAATATATGCCCAAAAAAGCTGTGTAGCCACAGGTACCACCATGTATATTTTGACAACTTAAATCTGGGCTTTTGCAGTTATTTTCTGCAAGAATTAGGTCCTTACTTTTTAAAAGACCATGCATAATTTGTACTTATCCTACTTTTAGGTTGAAACTTAATGTGACATTTTTGATATAATTTACTTGCCATAATTTTGACACTCAGAGAAGTTAATTGCAGCCACATTTTGGGGTCTTCCTTTATTTTGATTGGAAGTATTGGATCTCATCAATTTTGAATAGTGACTTTAGATTTCTATTGTAGACTTTGTAGGATAAAAGCCATGTTAGTCTATAGCAGGTTTTGGCAAACTATGGCCCGTGGGCCAAATCTGGCCTACTGACTATTTAGTACAGCCTGCAAGCTAAGAATGGATGAGCGGGCAAGTAGCAGATCGCCAGGCCTGAGCCTCAGTCAAGCTGAGAGGTGAGGGCGGGGCATCCTGGGCAGTGGTGGCCTATCACTCTGGCCTTGGCCTGCAGGCCTGCCAGCCACGCCTGCGGAGGCAGGGGAGGGGTGGGATCTGGCCCTTTATGGAAAAAGTTTGCGGACCTCTATCTGTGGTATCCAAAAATCAGGAGGAATCTGGTAGCACGTTTTCAGATCAACAACAAGCAAGGTGAAACTCATGAAAGCTTATACCTTTTTTGTCTGAAAAGGCACTACCAGATGCCTTCTGATTTTTAAATTTCTATTGGTATCTATTTGTGTGATCACCAAGAGTCGAAAACAACTTGATGGCCCATAATCAATCAATTGGTATCACCAAAATAATTTGGAAGGAAATTGTCATTATCTTATAGAAGGAAATCTTAATAATTTAATGACATTCATGGTGTAAATAATCTCTTATAGTAACCTGACTCTTGGTGAAGTTTGTAAAATGCTTGCAAATGTGTTTTCACTGTGTTTCATCTTTTCATTTTTAGGTTCCATAAAGGGACAGATTGTGTGCAGGACTTAATGCTGATGCATCCCTGTGAGGCTCTTCTGTGGTGCTTGCCTTCTTACTGAAAACTCAACGTCTGCCCGCATAACTTCGTTGCAACTTGAATTTTCTGAGTATTGTGGGAAACCATGGGGATTGGCAAAAATACTACTTCTAAATCTGTAGAAACTGGAAATCCAGCAGAGAGCAAGTATGAGGATGAAGCCAAGCATACTGCTTTCTTTACATTGCCAGTAAGTTAAGCTGTTTAGAAATGCTAATTTGCTTTTGGTAGTATTATGAGGCTGGTGCATTTCATCTTTAGTAGTCTTCCTTAGAGGTCATATTGGGTTAGGCACTAATTCTCCAAGAAATACATTTTTACATGGCACAGCTTTGAAATTAGCATAGATAAGTAGTGGCTTGTGATGTGCTTCCCACTGGTGTCATAATCGCTTTCTGAAAGGTGCTTCCTCTGAAAGCTTTTCATTGCTGTGTTCTGAAGGAGGACAGTGTTATAAAAGCTGTCTTGGTAAACTGAATCTGTTGAAGGATAGAGCTGGGTGTATTTTTCGGCATGGAGAGGAGTTTATTATTTATTAAACCAATTTATATAAGGAGAAAACCATTCCAATCTTATAAAATGAATTTGAGAACTCCTTATGAATGACTTATTTTGTTTAGAAAACTGATGCAATAGAGTAGGCTAATTGGATTGCTCAAGTGACCACAATCTTATCTATCGGAATGCATTAAATGAGATTAAAAAGATGGCTTTCAGCTATTTCTAAGGATGTTACAAAAGTTCTTTGAAGGACTGTAATTCATTGAAGGTCATTTGAGTACTGTTTGCTGCACCACAAACAAATTATCATAGAGATGAAAGTTAAACAGAAATGAGCTACTCAAATCCTTTTGGGAGGATATAAACATGTAAATGTATGCTTTGTGTTTAAAAATTAAAAATAAAAAGGTTTCCTCCCACTTGCATCATACAAAAAACTAGGATAATCCAATAAAAATACTTGGGTGAGAAGTTCATGATGAACAAGAAAAATCTAGGTTTAGTATAGATACATATCTGCATATCTAGTACTTATATAGGAAATAAAACTATACATCATATAGGAAATATACTATTATAATTGTAGTTATAATATGAATTATATTGTTTCTCTAAAATGTTATTCACAATAATATCTTCATTTGATGAATCCCCATTCAGTGAACTTTGGATGCAGCAGACAAAATCTGACTTAACACTTCACCCCAGATAATGGAAATGTTCAGACAATTTGCCTGTAATTTTTGGAAGTTTGCATTAAACAGAATTTCACTTTTTGATTGACCCTTCTTATCCCCAACTAGTCAGTTAAATCAAAAATTTTCTGTACTTTATGTTCTGCTGTGTTCTTGGTTTTTAAAATAAAATATACTGTTATACAAGATGTTCTTATGATTTGATTAAATACTCTATAATTATTTTTTCTTAGGTTGTAATAAGTGGAGGGGCAACTTCAAGTGGTGATCAAGATACAGAAGACACAGAACTTATGGCAATCTATACTACAGAAAATGGAATTGCAGAAAAGGTACCTTAAAAAGTTGATTAAACATAACATCTTGATGCAAATGAATTATCATAATTCATTTGCAGATTTGCTCAAACCTGGCTGCTAACAAGGCCATATGGAGTTCTTCAGCAGTTCAAAATGATTTCTGTTGAATGGGATCATTAAAGGACTGCCAAAAGTATTCCAATGCTATATGGCTGTAATAAGGAAGGGCTTGAAGAACTGAGAAAGTGACTGCTGAATGCATTAAAATAGATCTTAGAAATAAAAATAGATGAAAACACTCTCAGTCTTTTCTCAACCAGGCCAGGTAAACAAAACAAATCCATTTCTACAAGAAACTGCAGTCTGATAAACCACAGAATAAGGTGAATCAGAAGTTTTGGCTGATAGTAATGAAAAACAAAGCTGATTCATTCAACTTTGTTTATTGTAAAAATACGTTTGCCATATACACACTGTTGGAAAATATCCAGTAATAGTGCTTTCTTATCACATGAAGAGTATCCACTGAATAGCAGAATTTATCGAATAGATGAAGCCAGTGTAATCCAGGACCGCTTCTGCCCATAGAAACCTGGTAGTCATTAAGCACAAGATTCTTGTGGTTTCTGCTGCAGCTGATTTGGTGCCATGACACCTTTGGAATCTTCACATTCTGTAATCACCACCTTGATAAGGATTATAAACAGCTTCTAACAAACCTTCAAGGCTTTTGTCCCTCCTCCCCCTTCATTTTTGGTATTTATGAGACAGATTCTTGTCTTCTTCAAAGGCTTCAAGGCCATGACTCTCGATGTGGTACGTGTGAGCAAATCTTAACCCCTAAGTGTTCCTTGCTGAATCATTTATGCAGCTAGTGTGGTCTGTTCTAAATGTTCTAAAAGGATAAATTCAACACTGCCATGTTTAGGATGTTGCAAAGTTCAGAATATTTCAGGAAAGTTTAGGAAGTAAACAGAAGTTAGAATGTTTCATTTTTCAGAACTCTGCGTGGAAAGGTATTATATTTCCAAAATCTCTCCCCTGCGCTCCCCCTTTCACAATTATGAGAGGTCTACCTGACTTGTATAATTTAACTTATTTAATATCTTGCCCTAATTAAGATGACGTGACATATATTAAGAGTCAACATTATTTGACTTTCAAGGTCAGGCCGCTTCCTGTGAGATTGGAACTAGATGTTTCGTGTTAAAAGAATTCCGTTTCCAGTGGATTGCACAGCTCTAATGTTTATAGATATAGATCAAAGTTGTAACTGTCATTTTTCAAGGTGTACATTCTAGGAAACGTCAGAAAGCTGAAATTAGTATGTTAAGTGGTTTTTCTTACGTTTAACTAAAATAACTGAGATTTTTAGATTATTTTTGAATTAGGATTTGAAAGATGCTTTGTCCTTTACCTCCACTCATTTTTTCAAATTCTACTTTGCTTGTTTGATCCTCAGCCAGGTAGAATATCTTGTAGAAGAACTATCACTTTCCACACATGGACACTCTGTCTTCAGCCACAACCCTGATCATCTTAGCTTTGAGAGCAGGGATGGTGCTAAACAGAACTCCTCAAAGGTAGCCCTCTCTCCTCACTGTTCCAGCTTTATATTCCAGTGGCTGAATTCATACATTGCCCTAAAGCAGAGTAGGTTGACCACAGTTTCCTGAATAAACCACAATTCATAGAATCATAGAATTGGAAGGGATCTCAGCTCATCTAGTCCAACGTTCTGCTTGGTGCAGGAACTGCTAACGCATTTCAGCAGATGGCTTTCACAGACCTTCAGTGAAAAGGAGCATACACTTTCATGAAGCAGACTATTCCACTGGTTGACAATCTTTACCATCAGGAAATTCCTCCTAATATCTAACCTGAATCTACTTCCCTGTAGTTTGAACCCAATTGACTATGTTCATGTAATACACTAAGCCCTAAATCATGGTTTACAAACTGCAGTGTCTGTGCTCAGGTATCATATTAAACCAAACTCAAACACATAGTCATTTTCTGGGCTCAAGAGAAGTTCCTCCCTAGTAATGTTGCACAGTGCAGTGCGCTCTGTTGTACACATTCTCCTGACTCCTTTGAGAACTGGGTCTTCAGAGCAGGTGGGATAGCTGAATGTTGGAGTTTAGCTGTTTCCTGTAGGAGTCCACTGACGTTAGCTGTTTCCCATGGGGACCCACTGAAGCCATTCCACTGCTGTGGAAGGGATTAGGTTCTGATGCCTGAAATGGCCACAGCTACAATGACAGCTTCAGAATCATTATGGAGAGCAGAGTGTGAAGTGATCAATACTGTCTTGTGAAGTAAAAATTACTCCTTTGTTTGATTTTCTGTTAATCCCTTTGATAAAAAACACAGAATAGCATATTAGGAAATGTGAGGAGGAAGTTGCGTGTGCTTAAAACACTCCAGACGTATGGTTTCAGAGCTCAGGAAGTCAGTCATGTTTGAGAACGGGATATTCACTCTGTAATCAAGAATGGATTAAGTCAGCACTTTTGTTATATAAACCCAGGTTTCAGCAAAATTTGAAACTATTGTACTAAATTAAGTAAGTCTTATTTTTCAAGGGCTATTGCCAATAAAAGGTGTTAAATGGTGTCCCTGTTTACATAGCCCTTAAATAACAAAAATTTAAAACAATTTCTATGAAAAATGGCACCATAGCCTATACAAAGCTATGGCCTGTTGAGAGTTGCAATGAATATTTATTTCGGTTGTTAAACCCCAACGTGCAACACTAGGCTTAAATGTTCCCATTCTGTGAGCTTCATGTTCTTTTCTTGCTCTTCTTTCTCTATCCATCTTCTCTTCCTCTTCAGAAGAATATTCATAAGAGTACTGCCTGTACAGCTTGCATTAGATAAGTAATTAATTGCTTGCATTAGATAAGTAAGTAATAACTTCATTATTAAAGAGTGAGCTAGAAGCCTGTCATGGGGCCGTCCACTTCGGGATAGAGAATTGTGTATCTTCTTTGCTGATCTTTCACATTCACTGCTTATGCAGATGAACATTGTTCCTCATACATTTGATTGGACCTCATGTAGCTTTTGGAAACTCTTATCTCAATCATACAAGGCTTCAGTAAACCTTGAACTTGAAAAATCCCAATCAGTAATTGCAGAAAAACAATGCCTTGGGTCTTTCTTTCAGTGGGATGTAGGGAAGTGTGGACTGTCAAGTCAGATCATTTAGGTCAGATCTTGAACCCTCCAGATATGTTGGGCTCATGATTTCTTAGCCAGCATGCTCACTGGTATTAGCTAGAGGTAATACCTCTGGAAAACTTGATGTCGAGAAATGTTGGTCTATCCTTGTGTTTAGGACCTTGTTCTAAAGTCCTTGCTTACAAGTCGCTTGTTCAGCGACCATTCAAACTTATGACAGCACTGAAAAACGAGACTTATGGCTGGTCCTCGAAGTTGCGGCTGTCGCAGTGTTCCCACAGTCACGTGATCGTGATTTGGACACTTGGCAACCAGCGCACATTCACAGCAGTTGCAGCATCCCATGGTCATGTGGTCGTCATTTGCAACCTTCACAGCTGGCTTCTGACAAGCAAAGTCAGTGGGGAAGCTGGCAGGAAGATGTAAGTCAGTGTGGTCAGTGATGTTACACTTAATGACCATGCTGCTTAGCGACTGAGTTGCAAGTCCCAATTGCAGCTGGTAAGTGAGGATTACCATCCATGCAAAGCAGATGTCTCTCTCACAAATCTAATTTTCACCCTTTCATTTCATTATATTTGATTCCTGAATAGTTTTTGTGATAATTCTTTGAATGTTCATGAGGCCTAAAAACACTTTTTCCACTAAGTTCCTCTAAAGTGCTCAGATTTGCCATAAAAATGTTTATCAAACTTTACTATACCCCATTGTCTTCCCTAAACTCTGATGTAACATTGATTTGAATCCATTCCTGCCATGATGTGAATGCAGATGAGGCACATTACATTTTTTACTACATCAACAGAATTATAGGTCCTAAATCCTGGAAAGTATTTGTGTCCAATTTGGAGCAGCTTAAGGGGGATTCAGGCAGACTGGAGTAGACTCAGAGAAGGGCAATGAGGATGTTCAGGGGATTGGAAACTCCAGTCCTGTGATGAGAGCTTAAGGGAAGTGGTTATGTTTAGTCCTGAGAAGAGAAGATTTTAGGTGGGGTCGGGTGTGCGTGTGATAGCATACTTCAGATAACTAAAAGATATGAAGTCAATGGATTCCAAAGTGCAGGACCACAGAACAGTAGATTTAAGTTATAGGAGGGTAGATTTTGGCTGAATATTTGAAAAAAAAACTTCCCAACATTAAGAGGAGTTCACCTGAAAAGCCAATCAGCAGTAGTATTTAATAGTAGTATTTTGTTTTTATGTGTCTATATATAATGGTGGGGTTTCTGTTACAGGAGGTGTCAAGCAGAGACTGGTTGAGCATTTGTTAGGCACTTCAAATTAGATTCCTGTAGATTAATTAAATCTAATTAAATTAGAATCAACAGAATTGAATTTGGTCTGAACGGTTCATTCCAAGCTTAGGGTTATATTTCCAGAAAAAGCTTTATATATTGAAATAAATAAAAGCTCTTTAGAAAACAGTAGACTGCTGTCATAAATCTTGGATCTCTTATACAAGTGTAATATTTCTCTTTTCCAGACATTATCCCTTGCCCACTAATCTACCACTTATGTTTTCTTGTGTAAACAGTAGGGCACCATAATCTTTTTTTTTTTTTTGGCACAGAATATGTGGTGATTATATCATAGGAACAGATGACCTTCTTATATGTAAAGGCAGAGGTTGGTTACATTAAAGAGAGGTGCCCGTGTAGTCTATCTGATTACTAGAAAAGTAAATGGATTTATTTTTTTGCTATGTGAACTGATAGTGCTTTGGAGCAGGCCACAGACCTTCTCAGTTGTATCCCAGTAACCTATTAATACACTGTCGTATTAAATGGTGGCTAATTTAATGGTTGACAGAGTTCCCTGGCAGAAACCCTTGACAGCAGTGGAAGCTCAGACGCACAAGGAACGGACATGATCTACACAATTGAGGATATTCCACCCTGGTATCTCTGCATATTCTTGGGGTTACAGGTACACTTTGTTCCAATATGTTTTTCATAGAAATGCTGGTGAGCAATTAAGTAAGTCAGAATTTAATTTTAGAATTACTTAGCAGGGACCTAATGGGAATGACACTTTCACAGGACTGATGTTTGGCAGGGTAATTCAGGCACGTGGCATGGAAGCCACAAGAAGCGACGAATAATTTATTCCTGGTTTTCCTTCTCTCTTGCTTCACTGTTGCTCTGAACAGAAATGTGTGGGGTCTGTCAGAACAGGGCGATGGTGTTTCTGGAGGATCTGGCCATAGTATTTTCTACTTGAATAAATTTCTGCATCACTATATGAAGGCACTCTAGGTTGTTTCAAAAAACATTTCTAAGTGGTCTGAATTCAAAATTAGGTGCATTATAAATATTACCTATTACTGTATCTCCTACATTTCTTGTATTGGGAACTTTGCTAGGATGTCCAGTTGTGCGGTCTTCACAGTTTTGCAGCCAGAATGCTTCTCTTCTAGGAGGGGGGTGATTGTCTCTGAAAACCAGTTAGGGATGCCCTGAAGAGCAACAGTATGGAAGGAGGCTTTATGGACACATTCCATGAGAAATTCTCCTGCCCAATTCCTGAATAGAAAGGAAGGGTGATATGTGAGCATGTTAAATAAATAATCCTCTAACAAATCTTTCCATTTTAGTGGGCTTGTGCAGCTCAGCTTCCTATTGATCTTATACTCTGAAAGTCAGTGGGAGGTATGCAGGGGTGTGCTGGACCCGGCTTGTACCAGCTCACAAGTGCTGATTGTTAAATTTTCTGGAATTTTGCAACCCAATTGAGAGCAGAGCTGAGCCATGATGCCTAGCACACTGATCAGCTGTCTGGTGGCTAGTGGCCTGGTGTGGCAGTGTCAATGGAGCCAGCAGGGCTGTTTGTACACCATTTACTAGCACACCACTGGAGGTATGTCTTTGATTCAAAGATTGGTTTGCCATGCTGAGAAAATTGCTGGATATGTCCTTCTGATGAGAAGAATTCAAGAGAAAAAAATTGGGACTTTTCAATCTTTCGTGCAGTATCAATATACAGATTGGAAGCTGCTTCATACGAAAGGTATACTTCAGATCCGTCCAATCAAATATTGGTTACTTTTGACTACCAAAGAGTTTCTTCAAACTGTGCTGTCTGTCTAAGATCCTTCTGATAAATATGATATTTTGATTCTTCAGCACAAAGAGTCTGAACTCTGTATCTGAGTTGGGGTCTCCTCCGTAATATCTGCTGGAAGCCCACCACAGAATATTTGGTGCCATAATACTTGCTTTTACTTCGGACTGCCATTTCCTAATCCTTAACTGGAGATTGACAAACAAAGTGGGTTTCTTTGTTAAGATTTTGATCTTTTCCTAATGGAAAAAACTATTCATACAGAGTTATTTATTGCCTTGGTTTAATCATAATGGTATGAACTCATTGTAAACACATGGAAGGCAATAAAAGATAAATAGATATACAGAGATATAGAGATATAGAAATATATACAAATGATTAACAGCTAACTCTTTGTTCTTTGCAGCACTATCTGACCTGTTTCAGTGGCACTATAGCAGTGCCCTTCTTGCTAGCAGATGCTATGTGTGTTGGATTTGACCAGTGGGCCACCAGCCAGTTGATTGGGACCATATTTTTCTGTGTTGGAATCACAACTTTGTTGCAAACAACTTTTGGGTGTAGGTGAGTTAGTCTCTGGCAATGTCTTAACTGAACCTAGCTCTTCCCTTAAACTCCAGGCTGTAATGCTGATGGTCAGGACTGTGTATTGAGTAAAGGATTGTACTTAGGCTAAGGAGAACCAGCTTAAAGTCATCTTTCAGCTGTGAAACTCACAGAGTGACTTTGGATTAGGCACCAGTCCCAGGGTGGTTGTGGGGATAAAATAAAGGGGAGGACTCTGTAACTTCCTTGAATTGCTACAGAAAATGGATATAAAAATAACAGATAAAGAATTAGATAATAACATGCTGGCAGGGATGATAGGAGTTGTAGTCTGTTTTGTCTGACAAATTGGGAATAGCTATGAGGAATGAATGTTCTGAAAACTACTTCAGAACAGTGATGTAAGTTAAGCTAAACAAATTTAAAAGAAAAATTGACTAATTTATATCTCAAAATTTCCCCTTGCCAAGTAGCACACATTCAAAGCGTAATAAATTAGTAATAATTAAACAGTTCAGGAAACAGGCAAATAATATGCAAAATTAAAAACGTTAGTCATATTTGAGTCTCATAAGAAGATAATGAAAAGTATTACATAAATTACACCAAGTGAGTTGAATTAGTGCATGATTGTCCCCTCTAATTAGCAGCTGCTCCCCAAGTTCTTAGCCAGGTACTTTTCTCATTCCTGGAGCCTAAAATCCTTCCAGCGGAGATGTGAAGGGCTCAAGACATTTTGACACCTGAGACATCATTCAGTTCCATGAAGTTCCTGAGGCATCATTCAGTTCCACCTTGATCAGAGGGATGGCCGAACATTCTTTCAGCACAGATCATTGGACAGATTCCTCTGTATTGCCTGAGGCTGGCAATGTGATAGAGGGGTGAAAGGTAGACCATAAAGCTTCCATAATACTGGCGTCCAACTCTGTAAACTGTAACTGCTTCCTGCGGTGGTTAGGGGGGGACAGTCATGCACTAGCTAAACTCACTTGGTATAATTTACATCTTGTTTTGGATAATGGTAGGGTGACCTTGTGAGGATTGAACATTTCATCTTCTGCATGAAAAACGTGCTCTTGTCTAACCAGGACCTGCTTCCATCTGCCAGCACTTTTGTACCTCTACACAGCCTAAAAAGGGTAAAGAATAGCAACAATCATTAAACTTTTTCCTATGTTCCTGACAAACATTTCTCTGCATGGTTGCTAGAGATGATTTGTGCTCAACATAGGCAAGAAACATAGCATGTAATGTTCTTTGGTGGGAGTCTTATGATTTGTGCCTTTCTTAAATATCTTTTAACTTTCCTCACTTCTCTGTTATATATATGGTATTAGGAAATTAACAATCAAAGCAAAATATGTTTTTGATTTTCTTTAGATATTAAGAGAATAGAATTTTCCATCCAGTTATACTGTTCTGTTACTGTAGAATAGAACAATGTAGACTTTTCACCTTTGCTCAAAAGCCAAAGTATGTTAAGTGCTCACATCTATTATATATTTATTCTAGGCAGAATATTAAAAATAACATGGAAAAATAATAAAGAATTAATACAATTATCTTTTGCTTTAGGTCTAGCCTCTCCAAGTATGATATCATTTTGGAGCCTTTCTTTCAAAAATAAAATATTGAGTATATTTACCCATGAAAGAGAATATTGGGTGGAGAATGGTAACTCAGTAGGATAAAGAAGGCAAGCTGTTAAAATAAACTAGTGAAGATTATTGAAGGGAATCATTCCAAAGAAAATCTCCAGGCCTTGCTCAATATCTTTCTAGGTTTCCTGAATTAGAATAGGCAGTCTCTCTTTGTTTCAGATGATCTTGTGAAAGAAACAAGTTGAGTATTTTTACTTGCCAAGAATGTTTCTGAGTTGGTCCTTTCATCGTGAGATGCGATGTTGCGATAACCAGAAAGGCAGTAAATGTCCCCATAATAGCAGCAGAAAGGTGTAAAAGGTGTAAAAGAGCTAGCCACGTGCCCACAAGCAGGTTATGGGGAGTGTGTATCCCTCTGCTCCTTATTACCCCAAAGGCATACAAAGGCCCAAGCAGAAATTAGATTGCTTCTTTTGAATTATTTCGTTAAGTAAGTTCTGTTTGGCTTCCCACCATAAGGGATCAAATACATCATTCTGGAATAATTTGAGAAATTATCCTTTAAGGAAGGATGTCTGCAAGAGCACTCTGGTTTTGCAAATATTTTGCAAATATTTGCAAAATACTGACAGCATGCTGTCTGAGGAATTCTGGGAGTCGAACACACATCTTAAAGTTGCCAAGTTTGAAACACACTGAAATAAATCATTTAGGAAGTGATCCTGGAAGAAAGGGAGACTGCTTGTAAAAAGTGGATCTTTACAGGCAGCTTTCTTTCCTTGTGGACTTGCTTGTAAAGGTCCTGTGATTATGCAACGTTGCTTGGTCATTTGATCATTCCAGATACACTCCTTCCTCTAAAACTTTTTTTTTTAACTATTGTGAGCATTTGCAAAGCATTTTAATGTGAAAGACACACACATGTACATCTTGTTCATGGCGTGCGATCTTTTTGCCCCTCCAACAACAATGATAATTACGAAGGAAGATCAGCGGTATTCAGAATAATAAAATGAATAAATAGTAAAGTGAACAAAATACATTCAGACTACAAAACCAACAAATTTGTGTCAGTTGTAGCCTAATTGTCACTGCAGCCAGACAAAATTTGGCTATAGTGTCGATCTGAGACAAAATTATGCTGCCGTGGCTTCCTGACACGGTAATGAATTCCTAGCCCTCCAGTGCCAAAGAACCTAAGCTGTGACTTTGTAGGAGCCGCCAGTTTCTTTCAAAAGGGCAAGAAAAGGAGAAATGTCCCTGCAATTTCTGCTGTTTGTATGTTTATTGACTAATCAACATTGATTCTAATTTGCCATAGTATAATGAATTGAGTCATTAAAAAAGTAAACAAGTGGAATAAAGTAGTTCTACTTTACACACTGTTGAGGCAGTTTCTGTGGATCCTTGTGGAAGGGATGTTCTATAAAAGAGGGAGTCTTGTCTTTTAGGATTGTGAATATAAGAAAGGCCAGACTAGTTAAGGAAAAGTTATAGCCAGCATTGCTTTCTGTTTATGCTCTAGCTTACCAGAATTAGCCAGGCAGCATTACCATGTGGAAGAATGCAGGAAAAAAGGTGATCTGCAGTATTAGGATTTCCTAGATTAAAACTGAGAAATACTTTTTGCCCTTGGAGTGATTTCAGTTAATGTTACTACTTCTCTGTCCCGTTCACCTTTATCGTTTACTAGATTAGAGGGAGATTTCTAGAATATTCCTGTTTCATTGATGACATTGTTGTCCTAATGGTGTTTACAACTTTTCAAAAACCACCAAATTAGTCCACACAGAACCTGATGTGAACTTTTTCCTCGTTCTCTTTACTGGTTTTTATGATTTGGTCAAATGTAGAGTAACATATTTTTTAATTGTTTTTAATTGCTTGTTACTTGTATTTGTATTTGCCCAGAGTCTTATAGTGGGCAGCTATAGTAAATTTAGATAATTTAAATAACTAAATAGTAATAATAACATTGAACAGGCGACTCTTTTTGCCACAATTTATCCCCGCGCTCTGGCATTGACGCAAATGTGGTTTTTGCTTCTTTCAGGTTACCTTTGTTTCAGGCCAGTGCTTTTGCATTCTTGGCTCCCGCTAGAGCCATCCTCTCTTTAGACAAATGGAAATGTAATAACACAGGTGAGCAACCATCCTTTTCCTCTGTGCCTTTGGTTATTCAGAGCAAGAGCCCAAACTAACCTTTCTTTAGTCTGACTCTGACAACGTTGGTATAAAAAGTCTTGTGTTTCCAGAATTGTTGACCAACCATAGCTAGTCCTGAAGGTACCTGAAGGCAGGACGCAACACAAATAGCTTTTTGATGCAAATTTAAGGGCAGTTCTTCCAGTTTCTCAAGCGACAGGAAACCACAAGAGTCCCATACTCTTCCCATGAGAATTTCATTGAAATTGTTCTTGGGGGAAATTTCTGAAAGTGTGTTGTGGGGGAGACCCACAGGCAAATTTACTCACTGGCAGTGGCTGCTAGATGGTTTTACAGCACCCTCAAGTTCAGAGGCAGTAGCCAAGGAGGAACAGCAGGGAAAGGAGGTTCCGAGGGGTTCTGGTTACTGTTAAAAACAGGATAGTGGATATTTGGTCTGATCCAGTTTGCTCCCATTTTTCTGTTTGTTTGTTTGTTTGTTTTAAACTGGCATACCCAATCAAATAGTACGGAGATGGGCAAACTGCAACCCTCAGGGCCCCCTTCAGAATTCAGCTGAATATTGAAAATGAGTATCAAGGATTCAGGAATGGAGAACACATGAAACCTAAATTGTGGCCCCTAAAATAAGACATATGCAGTTAAAAAATTGCACTCCACTCTTTAAAAACTAGGAAAAGAAAAGAAAAAGGAAATCTTATCTTTGCATCATTGCTTCACCCACTGGGTGAGCTGTAGATAAACTGCATCAAGCATCATGTCCAGTGATTAGTGAACACAAGCAAGTTTTATAAACAATGATTTAAGATGGCTTGCTTTTGTTCATCATAATTACAATTAGCTTGTCTAGATCTGAATATCATAGCCAAGCTGCAGTCTAATTGTTCACAAACATACCAAAAGGAAAAGTCCCGAGTGAATTCACTGCAGCTCAGCTTAATCAGCTTTTCCTTCTTCTGTGTTGGACCAGTATCCATAATCCAGCATGCAAAAGGCTGCATTAAACTGTGGCTTCATTATATGCAAACATAGCCATAAAAACAGAATTAGTTTCCGGAATTGAAATTAGACCATATATTTTGCTGTCAGTCTTGCTTATACAGAATTTTGCATAGTGAATTTTCTATCATTATTGTCAGATATAGTCTTGCACACATTTAGGTAACTGGAATTTGGTGAATGATTTTGATGATATGGGGGCAATCTAGTTGGATTGTTTCCCCAACTGAAGTACAGAATATATAAGTAAAAGCACTTCAGAACATGACAGGCGGGTATAAAATAGCAGATGAGTTGTTCCAGAAGTAACTGGCATGCATCAACAATTAGAACTGAAATCTGTTACCTAAGATGTTAGGTTGATCAACCCCGATGCCTCAGAGCATCTTGCCATCGGTGCTTTGCTTTGAAGCACAGTATCTTCGGAATCAGATGAATTTTCTGGTTCCCAGAAAGGCCCAAGCAAACACCAAAGAAGATTGTGTGAAAACTGTGCGATGATGACTTGTCATTGAAGTTTTCATATTATCCTCCAAGTAATTGGTTTCTGGAAACTTCATGATTGTTGCCAATTTACAGCATCTATGTTTAAATTAAAGTTTTAGGCTTACTCTAGTTGGAAAAGTGGAAAAACCTGGCTCCTTCTATAATGTCTAACTTCAGGCTCTTTTTTTGCCATTATGAGCAAAGAAAACTTTAAATAAACATATTGGCCATTAAACATATATCAACTTCTAGTCTTTATTTTCCAAAGGTGGAAATAGGTTCAGTAAATGCAGCTGAACAGGAATTGGATTTTTTTTTTTAAACTAGGCATTTCCCAGAGAAATCTTATTTTGCATCTAGAATTTCAGGAGTAGTTTGAAATACTAAATGAGAGGGAAATGTGTTACTAATTTCCCCAGTTGGGTTGCCTTGACAGGCTGCTAATATGCAATATCATGTATATGCATAATCATATTTTGCTTTTGGTAGTGCTCCAAACTCTCTTTCCCAATGAGTAGCAGTGAAAATGCAAGAGTTTCCAAATTACTGGAAGAGGAGGCTTTCAGAGCTAAGGTCAAAATTCAGATTGTGTTCACATGTGGTGTTAAGCCCTAATGTACTTAATTTAATTTTGGCTTTTGGTGGATTTGCAACCCCAATTACCAATACATGAAGTTAAATAACAAATGCGGTCAGTTGCAACTTTTAAAATAAATAGTGCTTAGTTGATGAATGTCCCAAGTCCCTAAAGTGTGTATTTCTTATAACTGCATCAATAAAGCTTTCTGGTTTCAGAATCGGCTTTTCTCCCCACCATGTAGAAGTTCAGGCCCTGCTAGAAGAGTTTTAACTGCTATGTTTAGGTCAAATAATGTGACTACAGTTTTTAATAGATCAGGATGATGACATTTCTCTGTGCCTTCAGAAAAGCTAGTAACTTTGTGAAAGCTGCTTGGAAATCATAAGTAGATAACATTTTGTTTATAAAAAGATCCCTTGTTCTGTCTTAGAAGTCATCCTCTAACCATGAGGCGTCAGACAGGAGCTGTTATTACAGTCTAGCCAGCCAAATTAAGAAGCAACATTTTGATGACATAATGCTCCAGAATCACTTTATCTGTGCTGTGAAATCATCCTCCACATCACCTAAGTGAATCTCTGCCTCTTTGTGCCCAGTGGGGCTGCCCATTCTGGGATTACAGCAGGCTGCAGTGGCACGATGTACAAATGCTGTAAATTCTGCCTCCTTGAACCATTTTTACTGTGAAATTATATGAGAGAAGGAAACCATAAGTAAGCCTGTAGTGGTGGATTAGAAGGAAGATAAACAATATCCAAGAGAAGGAAGGAATGTAGTGGTGAACCCTATCTATTGAGAAGAAGGCAACCAAACAGTCACACTCAACCAGTGGGAGGAAAAATGAGGTTAGGGAAGGAGACGGGCACTTCAGATTGGCCAAGTACCAGCCCATAATCTATCCTGGGCCTCCAGATAGATTATTAAATTTCTCAAATCATTTCTTGGAGCTTTTCTGTGAAAGGTTGGGTAAGCAGGAAATACCTTCCTCATGGGGTCATTTTGGATTTGCAGGTCCTTTGTCTGTCTCCTCCCCCACCCCCCCCACAATATATTTCCTTGTTGTTTATTACAGTTTGGTCAACTAGCCTTTCAGTCAAAACTAAGGACAGAGAGGATTAAAAAGATCAAACAAGACCAGCAAGGGCCATTCTACAGTTCACAAATAAGGAACAGTCACAAACTTACATAAGACAATTCATAAAACGTTCTACATGGCACAGTGTAGTTTGCTGCCAGTTAGTGTGGTTTAACTATTTGTGATCTTAGTGTGAGAGCAGCAACAAGATATTTAGCTGTATGTACAGTTAATACCTTAATAAAACCAGAGAGGAGATAGGCAGTATAGAGGTCTTTTGGCCTACCCAGAAATAAGATCAAAAGCAGGTCAATAAATTTGTTCCTAATGCTGTCATAAAAAGTACATTTCATCAGTACATTTTACACTTTCAACTACTGCCGTCTCACAAAGGCATAATCTCAATTCCAGAGGGTTTTTCTTGAATTGACCTTCTATGGCTGTGGGGAGGCAATTAAATTGACCAGCAGAATAGATTTTGCTATATATAAAATTTACTATGTATGTATAATCAGGAGCAGTAGGAGGTCAAATAGGAGAAAAAGCTAAGCTTCTTTGTATATTAAAACTGTTTATTTTGCCATAATGAGAGGTGTTTCTTTTTAACCTTCCAAGCTGTAATGGCTACAAATGGAACATCGGAGCTGCTGCACACAGAACATATCTGGTACCCCAGAATACGAGAGGTAACTTGCATAATGTGTTCAGTGCTGTGCCCTCTGTTGGGCACTCCCCCAGTTGGCTGGCTCTCTCTGACTTCCTCAAATTTCTTTGGTGGCCTTTGTACCTCACGTACAGAGCTTAAGCTTGCCTGTCCTTTTCTTTGTGATCGCCAAGTCTCCAACCGCAGGAGATTCAGTCCATGGTTGATGAGGATGTGCTGTCATGCCAAGGAGTTATTATTCTGTGTTTCATGGCGTGCAGGTGCTTCTCACCAGTAATAAGTGCGGTAATGAGATCACTGTTAAGAGGCTGCTGGGTCATCTTATGTAGCAGTGCAGTCAAATGCTTTATAAGGAGAATAATCTACATTGCCTTACTGTATTTTTGCTTCAGAAAGCCAGGCACAGTTAGAAGCACTGCCTTGCTTTCTAAAAATTATTTGTCGGTCTTGCTGCTCTACTTTTCTTTCCCATCTAACTCCCAATATTTTACGTCTTCTTGGTCCTTAAGAATCTAGAATAATTAATAATAATAAAATATAGATCCAGTGCGCACATATGACATGGAACTTTTCACCCATCCCATTGTTTTGGGCTGCCAGTTGTTCCTCACTTTAAAACATCCCCTCTCTCTTCCCCATCTTCAAACCGTAGCTCCATCCTGCCAAGAGGTCTGCAGCCAAGGGGGGCTGGCAGTCTCCTGAGACCACTGCGCTGCTCTATGCCAGCTTCTAAAGAGCACGGGTGACCAAATGCATCATACACTCTGCCCCTAGGAGCTAAGAGCATCACCTTCGTGGCATCACCAGCCCTTGCCGGTTCGATCTGAGAACTTTAAAGGTTAGCTTGGAACCCAGGTCTTCCTGTATGACCGTGTGATGTGCTATTGACACAACTGCCAGATTGGTCTAATGACCCCGTTGTGCGTTACAATCTAAGCTATGTGCTTAAGCAGTAAGAAGAAGTGGATGAGGTTAGTAATCCTTCTGTTGAATCATCTTCTGATGATAACATAGCATGCACCTCTGAACTTCAGATGTTCTTTAGTCTGGAAAACTTGCTGCTTAAGCACTCTGTTGCATAACACATGCCATTGCCCAGTTCTGCCTAATCACTTGATTTTTTGACTTGCAGTTCATGACCCATTCCAAAATCTCTACAGAAATATAAAACCTTCTCTGTAAAAAACAACAGGAAAGAAGGGGGTGAATCTAATTAAGGCATCTCTCTTTTCTCTGTGTTCAGATCCAAGGTGCTATCATCATGTCGTCTTTGATAGAAGTGGTGATTGGGTTCCTGGGCCTGCCTGGAGCACTCTTGCGATACATTGGGCCTCTGACTATTACCCCCACTGTAGCTCTCATTGGGCTTTCTGGTTTCCAGGCTGCAGGGGAAAGAGCAGGCAAACACTGGGGCATAGCCATGCTGTAAGTATTCTTGGTTACCCAACTCTCAATTTTGTACTGGTGTCGCTTGATGCCTGAGCAGGTGAGAACGTCAGGATCTATCAGTATGGATGGTTGCTCCTTGCCCACTTAGGCCACTCTCCCAAAACGACTGTGTATCTAGTAAGTAGGCCATCCTCAGTGTGATGCCAATACCCTATTTTTAAATTGCTTTGGGAAAAAAATACATGGCAGCAACCGTGGAAATAATGATGCAAACTAAACACAGTAAAAGAAAACAATGGCATCCAGATGACTGGCCTTTGGAGGTCCAGCCAAAATGCAGTACTTAAAGTCAAGAGAAGAGCACCTGGACTTTGGCTGCTAAAGTTATCTTAGGATAACTGTCAAATAAGGGTCAATTATGTTTGATAAAATTTGTGCTCCCCCCTTTATGGAATACAGGGGTGCCATGCATTCCAAATGTCACTTGGTGAGCAGTAGGATTGGCGCTGCTTCAACAAGATACACTTTGTGTAGCTCCACCAGGTAACTGGATATACATTGCTTATGCCGCCAGTCATGCATAAGAATACGTAATTGCAGAAGCTAACCTGGTGATTGTCCCGTGTGGCTTCAATCCCTTTCTCTTCAGAGGGAAAAGCTTGAGGCTGCCTTATTTGCCATCAGGGTCACTGTCAAGGAGCTCAGTGTGTCTCTGATGCTACTATTTTTACTTGGCTGCTTCCTTTAGCTAAATGCACATTATGAAGTCCTTTCCACAGAGAAGTCACAGAATCAACATAGATTTGGGAAAGGCTGGGGATGGTGCAAAAGCATTTGGATGAATTGAAATTAGTGGATTGATTAATCTGTTGTGACTAAAAAGCATCACAGTAAATGGTGGTGCTAAAATAGCAGTAGATTAAATGTTTTTTTCTTTGTATTAACTGCAGAGTTGTTCATGCAGACTGCCAGTGTGCTTAGTTTACTTGCTTTATTTATTGAATCAAGATTCAAGGCAGGTTACAAAAACTTGAGACATATTAAAACACATTATAAAGGCAAACACAGCACATGAAATAGGGATCCAGCCCTCCTATCCTTTGCCCCAAACGCTTTGATAAATTAATCTGCAGAGTAAACATGGTGAAAAAAGTTACATCCTTTGCAGTCCCACTAAAATCGAGGTAGACGGGAATTTATTTCACATTCTTGGAGCAGTTATGTGTTGTACTAATGTGAGAAAAATATATCTTTGGGTGAATCTTTATAAGGAGTTTACAACCGGCCTGGTTCACATCAGCTTCAAGGATGCTTCCACATTCCTTTATGTTTCAATCTTAAAACTTGTCTTTTTCACCCAAAGATTCACCCAAAGATATATTTTTCTCACACTAATTTTGATATTATATCTCTTAATTCCATTGGATGAAATACAAACCTTAGTTTTAACTGAGTTACAGATACTTTCCCAATTAATGACGAAATTAGCAGCAACTTTAGTGAACTTCAAATCTTACATTTTCTCAGTTTATCAGTATTTTAAATAAAATGCAGAGAAAAGCTTTATTTGATCCTCCTCATATTATGGAATGCACTTGAGTTACAGGAGGAGATCCCTTTGTATTAATACTCTACCCAGGCTCAAGTGAGGAAGCCCATCTCTCTTAAGTAGAAATTCTTCCCAGGCCCACCCCTGGAGAAAAACTCAGAACTAGTTTACCTGAACTTTCAGGGCAAAACATCTCTGCCTCCTTTGTCTACCATGTTGTAAGATATAACATTGCTTGTACTGTATATTTTTCCCAAGGTTTGGAACCCTTCCAAAGGTCAGATGCATTTCTTCTGCAGGAAGAAGTAGCAATGCCCAAAACAGAGAATCAGAACAGATATCAAGAGTGCTCAACCCTAAACTATGCATCTACAATGATATATGTCATTTCTTTGCAGGAAAAACTTCCTTGTCTCAGTGGCATTAATCTTGCTGTCTAAAAAGCAAATTCACTGTGAATTAAAACATGAAAGCAAAATAAATTAAATTAAACCTATGTTTGTGCATTTTAGTCGAGGGAAGACATTAATTACTATTTTTACTTGTAAAGAATTTATCAGTAGTGATTATTTATTCTGTTGGCTGAATTTTATCTGTTAAATCTGTTGAAAAACTAATTGAATAATAGTAATTCTTCCTCTCCATCTTTTCAGGACTATTTTCTTAGTGCTGTTGTTTTCTCAATATGCCCGAAATGTCAAATTTCCATTACCTATTTACAAGTCCAAAAAAGGATGGACTGCATATCGCTTGCAGCTTTTTAAAATGTTTCCTGTAAGTAATTTTTATATTGACTGTTATCAGCATAGAAGCTTTCTGTGTGTGTTTTTTCAAATGTATAACAGGCTGTAATTTTATTACAATTATATAACAAAGTTATTGCTAAGCTGAGCTTTGAGAAAGAATCCAACCTGTTTAGTCTAAAGTCTTCCCTAGAAGATTGACATTGTAAGCCTGTGGAAAAACAAATTAAATATTAGTAAATTAGAAAAAAGGAAGAAAAAATTATATGTAACCATAAATCTGTTTAAATAAATCTGTATCTGTATCTAATTTAAAACTGCATGGAATGTTCTATTTTCTTCACTTAAAAAAATACAGCTAAGTTAAATAAGATTCAGGAAATGGTTAAAAATTATTTCCAGATTAGGCACATCTATCAAATGAAACGTATCAAGTTCAGACTTTTTTAGCCAGAGGGAAAAAGGATGTGGGAAGGTGAGTGGTGTTCACTTTCATGTAATGTTCTACAATTAGTTGAAAAATTTGATAGCGAAACAAAATAACATGTTTCTTCACATACACTAGAAGTTCACTTTGTAAATAGCTGCCACTGGGAAATTCTTAAAAACAATTGTATTTATTTAATATATTGATGTTCTGCTTCCAGTGCCAAAACATTTCTAAGTGGTTTACAATAAAAACAGCAATAAAATACATAATAAAAAATACTTTTAAACAACAAATTTAAACAAATACACAAACAACAAATTAAACCAACTAAAATATGTTCATTAAAAAGGTGAGTGGAAAAAGAAAGGCACATACCAGTCTTTAAACGTTTATAACAGGAAGGCTGAGATGGAGATACGAGTTTTCAACAATGTCTTAAAATAAGTTATAGTAGGCATTTCCCAAATTTCAAGTGGAGAGCATTCCAGAGTGCAGTGCTACCACAGAAAAGGTATCAGCTGGCATTCAGCCTTCTTGGACTATTTAGCAGAACAGCGATATCTGGGACTGCTCAGGTCTGTAATAGCCTCATTACAGACTTGACCAATCCTGGAGTCCACTAAAGAAGTCCTGTCATATTCTGAGATACCGTCTGACACCTGCTCATCTTTAAACTAACCTAAAAAGTTTTCTGTAAGACCTGACAATAGCAATTAGCCACTGTTTTCCTGAACTCTATTGCAGCTACAGTATACCTCTAATTATTAGATGCTGAGAACTAATGGGATGTCTGATCTGAAAAACACTGCAAGCTTTTCCTTGGCAAGAATAACAGATAATGTTAAATTCAGTAGATCTTTGATGTGTAATCCCACAAGTAAATTACCTTACTTTGAAATCTTTAATAGGGATTCAGGGCATCTCTTGATTACACTGCAGCATCTTTTTAAAAAAAATCACCCCTTCTTCTCATTTGCAATCAGGAATCAATATCAGTAGCAATCCCTTAAGTACTTACTTGGAAATTTTCCCAGTTTGGGAAATTGTATGAAAGATCCCATTTAAAATGGAATATTTAACAAAATGCCAGAGGTTTTTCTTTTAATCTGAAAATGATTGTGCCATGTTAAAGATAAGAACCTCTGTCACCAAAGCATGTCCTCCTTGCTTGCTGCCATATTTTAAGTGCCTTCCTGTCCCCACTACAGATCATTCTAGCTATTCTGGTATCTTGGCTGCTATGCTTCATCTTTACTGTGACAGACGTCTTTCCTCCTGATAACACTAAGTATGGATTTTACGCTCGCACTGATGCCAGGCAAGGGGTTCTCCTGGTAGCTCCGTGGTTCAAGATTCCGTATCCCTGTAAGTGAATTTAGCAAACATTCAGGAGGAGGAATCTCCCTGAATATTTTGTTTTTTTGAAGCAGTCACTCTAGTCCAGGGTTTCTCAACCTCGGCAACTTTAAGATGTGCGGATTTCAACTGCTGGCTGGGGAATTCTGGGAGTTGAAGTCCGCACATCTTAAAGTTGCCAAGGTTGAGAAAATCTGCTCTAGTCTCTTTGCCTATGAATTCGAAGATACCAGTTTGGATGGACTAAATCTTTAAAATTTGGCATCTATATTGGTTAATTATGGTATACTGTAGATTAATTTGAAGTCACTATTGATGTTATGAGAACTAAAAAAAAGCCCCCAAACCTTCATTTTTGTATTTGTTGCGTGAATATTAAAGTCTAGCAGTAAATTTAATTTTTGTGTTTGAAGTATTTGTATAATTGTACACTCTGAGACTTTCCAAACAAACTGATCTGATTTATCCAATTCCACTCATGAGGGAAGGAGAAAATATTCAAATGGAAAGATATAGATTATTTATATACGTTTGTTTCATTTCCATCCAAACCTCCTGGGATGCTCCCTGGGTGAGTGAAGATTTGAATCCAGGTCTCCCCGGTGCCAGTCCAGCACCTTAACCCCTGTTTCCACTGTACTGGTTCATGCCTGTATAGGATAATCATGTATGCATTTGTTCATAGGAAGCTTTTCTAACCAGAAGGCACCAATTTATTGTAGAGGTTAACTATCTATGAAGAGTCATTTCTGTAACAAAGTACACTTTTGATTCCCGGTAACCCTGAATAATTTTCCCTACCTTACCTTTGGATTACAGAAATCAGCTGCCCTGTCATGTAGGAAAGTATTTTACATCTTGGAAGTTACTTTGCTTGTAAAAGAAGGAGGAGAACTCTAATGGTGATGCTAATAGAGGCTAATAGGCTGTGGCCTAATTATCTGTAATCGTGACATTTCACCAGCAACTGTAGCTGGCATCTTGTTTTTCAGCTTTACATCATGCCAAAATAAAACAGCCCTTAATTAACCAACCCCATATAAAACCTACAGTAGGGTGTTACAGAGACAAATCAATCAAACATTAGCTCCTTTGGCACTTCTTCAAATGAGACCAATTACAAATTCACCAGGACGAAGAACCAATCAGAAGCCAGCTTTCCAGGATTCTGGTGACATCCTCCAATGAGAGATTAGTTCTGTTACAGACATGAAGGCGCCATCAGTTCTTGCTCAGTTGCCTGTGAGCTGCAGAGCAGATCGCTTTGCTCTGAAGATGCCGGCCACAGTTGCTGGGGAAACGTCAGGATGCCAGATAATTAGACCACAGTCTATTAGCCTGGAAGCTCATCATTGGATTGACCCTGCCCGTGAAAGCCTGCATCGATATAAAACCGAGTGTCTTTGTATTTACAGTTCAGTGGGGTTTACCGACTATTTCAGCTGCTGGCGTGATTGGGATGCTCAGTGCTGTGGTTGCTAGTATTATTGAATCCATTGGTGATTATTATGCCTGTGCAAGATTATCTTGTGCTCCTCCACCACCCATCCATGCAATAAACAGGTGAGCCTCCTGGGGGGGAGTAAAAAAACCCCAACTTACTCTGTTTCTAATTTTTTCATACTGTGCTGGAGTCAAAGCAGAATTAGATGCTGATTTCCGTTGAAGGTTCCAACATTATTCCAGTGCCAAGATCCAACTCATTTTCCTGATTAAAAATAAATTGACATAAGCGTATGGACCATTCAAATTGGCAGCATCAGCCAGTGACTTGGATGTTCAGATATCGTAGCAGTTCTTTTCTAGTCCTTCCACCTTTTCACCAGAGGCTGTTCCGTCTTCATCTGTGAGTCCTGATGAACTATCAGAGATGAATTATCTTGTGTGAAGCAGTATTGAGCATCCACAACTGTTCATGCCTGAAATATGTCTTAGGAAATCCAAATCATGCAGTGGAGAGGATAGGATAGTCTGCTTTTCTCTGCTGCCATAAATTAAAAGCTCTTCTGTGTCCTTGCATTACTTGTTATAAATATGTTTATGTTAATTCCTTTGCCAGGCTCTCTTAGTTCCCAGACTTCCAGCGATGTAAATATATTTTGTCTTAGGCTATTGATTGCTCTGCTTTTATTATAACTGGATGCTTGATACAGTGCCTGCTTTAGGATTAGCAAGATGGTCAACCGACAGGTCAGACCAAGCAGGCAGAACGTTTTTAAGCCTACAGCTCCTATCATGTAATCTGAAATGGCGCGTGTGGGAAGGTTTTTATAGTGGTAAGGTGTACAACATGGAAATTTTCACGTCATGCAGGAAATGAACCCATTGTGGCTCTGACATTTGGCTGAACCATTCTGGCTGGAGTTATGGGTCAGTCAGACCAAAACCTGACCCATCTTGGCTATTCTGGATTTCAACAGAGACAAAATGTGGCAGGATCTTTTGGGACGAGCAGGACAAGGCTGGTGTGTCTCACCCCACCTCTTCCTTCCTCCTCTGCATGGCCTGTGTGCCAGCTTGTCCACCAATCTTCTAGTACCTTCCTTGCCCTTAGCTGCAACCATGCTTGAATTCAAGCTTAGTATGGCTAGCCAGCCAACCACCCTGCCCCTTCCCAGTTTTTCCAGTTTTCCCAATCTTTCTTCTTTTTTTGATTAATTTTATTAAATAAATTTTTACAGGATGAAAACATTTAAAGGAAAAAGAAAATAAAGGAAAGTAAAAGAAACGTGATAAGTAAATAAGAAATAAAACAAAAGACAGAAAAGAAATAAGAAGAAAAGAAAGACAAAATATAAAGAAATTACTTCCGATCTTCTTTACAGCAGTTATAAATGCATTCAGATTTTATCCTCTCTCTCTAAGGTGACATTGTGGCTCCCTTCTTTCCATATT